GTGCGTCTGTGTGATTCCTGAAACAGCCCTACTCTGGCTGCAATGAATGCTGATGTGTGTATTCTGTACTATTCCATTTTTAGGGTTTATTATAACCACCACATTGACTTCCCAGCTTTCAAACATACTGTGACTGGCAGTAAGGACATTCTTTTTGTTGTTGTTGTTTTTTGTTTTTTGAGTCACTCCCAGCAGTGATACCCAGCAACGCTTAGAGGTGTTACTCCTGGCTCTGCACTCAGGAATTACTCCTGGCGGTGCTCAGAGGACCATATGGGATGCCTGGGATTAAACCCGGGTTGATAGTGTGCAAAGCAAATGCCCTCCCCACTGTGGTATTGCTCCATCCCCAAGTTAGAGAACTCTTGACACTAGCAGAGCCCAAGTTCCTGGTTTCAATGCAGTTCCAGCATGCACAAGGCCAGAGGAGTCAGTTAACAGGGCCAGTTAACTCGAGGGCAGGACCCTTGCCTTCCATGCAGTGACCTGGGTTTGATCCCTGGCACTACGTGTGGTCCCCCAAGCACCACCAGGAGTGATCCTTGAGCCAGGAGTAAGCCTTGAGCAGCGCTGATGTGACTTATCCCTCCCTGGCCCAGGAAAATCTTATCAAGGGTGATATTTTGTTGCTAAAAGGACCGGACCCATGGCCCTTGCTGTGTCCACCAGTGCCAGAAGGCAGGGAGGCCATGGCAACTCTCACTGGAATGAATTACAAACCATCCTGGCCTCAGTGTTGCTCTGTTTAGATTTTTTTAAAAAAAAAAGAGTCCCCGGAGGAAGTGTCCTGCCAGCGTTCTCTGGCCACACGCCTACAGTCAGGCTTGCAAAATCGAGCAGGGCAAGAAGCGGGCTTTGCAGCACATAAAACCACAGAAATGAGGTTAGATTCTGGACAAGCCAAAAATGAATGAACAGAGGAAAACGTTCACCGCACTCCTGGGCCACTGGGCGAAGCGCATGTAGCCACTTAGAGGGGCAATTTGATATTAGTGTGTAGAGCTAAATTATGCTTTCTGGGACCCAGAAATTCCATTCGCAGATAGAGTCTGGGTTGACAGTCCCGCCGTGTGCATAGAGAGACACGTTTCAATATGAAGCAGTCTGTAAAAATACAAGCCGGAAATGACCTAAATTATCGATCATTTTTGTGCACACGTGTTGCCAGAGATTGAACCCAGGGCCGTTGCGCATGCCTTGTGTGAGCTGACATTTGAGCTAGACCCTCAGGAAGTAGGCACCGAGCACTCTCAGGGGATGCACCCGGCCCGCGGTGGAACAGATGAGGACCGCCAGACAATAGGTCTTACACAGGCAAGCCAGCCCACAGCAGACCTGAGGGTCCTCTGGTGGGAAGGGCAGGTCAGAGAGACCCCCGTGGGGACATCTGCCCCAGGCCTGGAGTTGGTGATACTAAGGTGGGGTACTTCTGCCTGGTCACTTTTACTCTTTAAAATGGCATTGACCAGGGCTGGAGCACACTCCTGGTGGGGCTCGGTGGACCATATGGGATGCTCCCTCTAGTACCCCGTCCTTGCTGCTGAGTGATGAATGCGAGCCCACTCCAGGCATGAGGTGTCCAGAGGTTCATACGCTCAGCTGAATCCAGGCCCAAACAGTTCGCGCCCTTAACTACGAAGCTGACTTCACGCGGTCTTTGAAAAGAGGAAATGGCACACAAAAACCTCTGGAATGCTTTGTGTTTGAGGGGTGAAGTAGGAGAAGGTGCCTTGGCTTTGGGGGCTGGAGCGATAGCACAGTGGGTAGGGCATTTTCCTTGTGCGTAGCTGACCCGGGTTCGATTCCCAGCATCCCATATGGTCCCCTGAGCACTGCCAGGAGTAATTCCTGAGTCCAGAGCCAGGAGGAACCCCTGAGCATTGCTGGGTGTGACCCAAAAAGCCAAAAAAAAAAAGTGTGGTATTCAGCGGGTAGGGCGTTGCACACGGCCGACCCGGGTTTGATTCCAGCATCCCATATGGTCCCCTGAGTATGGCCAGGAGTAACTCCTGAGTGCATGAGTCAGGAGTAATCCCTGAGCATCGCCAGGTGTGACCCAAAAAGCCAAAAAAAAAAAAAAAGAAAGAAAAAATGTGGTATTGACCCCCAAGGGCCCAAGCACTCGATTCAGAAAAGCCATCTTGCACTCTTATGTTCATTGCAGCACTGTTCACAGCAGCCAAACATCTGGAAACAACCGAGTGCCAAGAACGGACAAGTAGATAAAGAAACCGTGGCACATCTAATAAGTGGAATATTACTCAGCTGTATAGAAAGATAAAATCGGGTAATTGGTTGTTATGTGAATAGATCTGGAGAGTATCAAGCGAGTGGTTAGTCTAAAGTTAAGAGACAGATTATATGCGGGATACAAAGAAACGTAGTAGGGGAAAAACAAACACCCAAAGGCAACAGGCACTGAGAACTGGTTTTTAATAGGAAACGCAATGAAGTAGTGGTGATGGGGGGAGGGTATTGAGGGGACACTGGGACAATGGTGGAGAAAAGTGACCCGCAGTGAAGTGTGTTGCTGTAACAGTTCATGTATGAAACCTACCATTAACAGTTTTATCAAAGACAGTGCCCAAAATAAAAAAAGTGGAATGGAGCGAAAGTTCAGGGGTAGGGATCTCGCCTTGCACACAGCTGACATAGCCTCAATACCTGTCACCAAGAGTGAACCCTGCGCACAGAGCCAGGAGCACTGTCCGAGCACCGCCAAGGATGACACCACTCCTCAGAAGATAAATAAAGGAAACCGAGGGCTCAGGAGATCCTCCAGGAGGAGATCCTCCAACTCCTGGGCAACTGGTGTTGATGAGGCAGTGACCCTACCTGACTCCTCTCCCCAGCAGGGGTCGCTCCCAAGCACATAGTCAGTCCCTGGGGCACTGGGATGAACCCCAACCCCAGCATCCCAAAGAAGGAAAACAGTGATTCTGTTATTTTCTTTCTGGTTAAAGGTAAAGGTAAAGGTAAAGGCCCTCCCGTTGATCGTCGATTTGCTCGAGCGGGCCCAGTAACGTCTCCATTGGAGACTTTGTTGTTACTGTGTCTGGCATAGGTTAATAAAGACTTTTTCCTCATCCTATAAAACCCAGCTCCTGGAACCGCACGGCCGCATTTGCGGCCCCGCGACATCTTATTATGACATCTTATTATCTTATTCCTACTTTGGACAACCTGGCAGGCTACTGAATGTATCCTGCCCACACGGCAGAGTCTGGCAAACTCCCCGTGGCGTACCCAATATGCCAAATACCAGTAACAATGATGGGTCTCTTTCTCCTAACTCTGAAAGAGCCTTGAGTATGGCACTATTTGAAAAATCTCAGGGCTAGGACGAAGGAGACGTTACTGGGGCCTGCTCGAGGCAATCGACAAATAACAGGATGGTCGTGATTGTGATCGTGAGGGTGGAGGGCAGGGGAGCCTTGTCTGTATGCCAGGTAAGAGATGCAGAAGGCTTGGACAAGAAGACTACAAGTGCAGACAGAGGTTGGTACCTCTGTGATCTGTTCTCGAGTCTGGGCCCATGAGACCTGCTACCTGGGAGGAAGGGCCAGGAAGATTGCTCCATGGTTGGAAGCCTGCCTCATGAGCCGGGGGAGCAGGCAGCTGGGATAGAGAAGGGATCACTAAGTCAGTGATGGCTGGAGGGATCGCTCTGGATGGGAGATGTGTGCTGAAAGTAGAGAAAGGACCAAATGTAATAACCTCTCAGTATCTGTCTTGCAGACCATAGTGCCCCAAAGTAGAGAGGGAGTATGGGGGAAATTGTCTGCCATAGAGGTAGGGGGAGGGTTGGGAAGGGGGGGGATATTGGGAACATTGGTGGTGGAGAATGTGCACTGGTGGAGGGATGGGTGTTTGATCATTGTAGGACTGAAACTCAAACATGGAAGTTTTGTAACTGTATCTCAGTGATTCAATTAAAAAATATTTTTTAATTAAAAAAATCTAAAAATTTGACCCTTTAGTGCATTGAGTAGGATACTTGCCTTGTAGGCGGGTGACCCGGGTTTGATCCCCAGATGGTCCGCAGAGCCTGAGCACCGAGCCAAGAAGAAACTGAACACAGGTGGTATGACCAACACCCCCTCCCAAAATAAATATTTAAAGATGCACTCCTAAAAACATAAGGAACACGTTGCTTCCATCATTTTTTAAGTATCCCATGAGAACAGTAAATGTTGTCTCATGGGAAGCTGGAGACGTACTAAAGACAAATCTATATAACTTTTCATAAGAGTTTTTAATCATTTAAAAATATGCTCATGATTTATTATTTATTTATTTATTTATTTTTGCTTTTTGGGTCACACCCGGCATTGCACAGGGGTTCCTCCTGGCTCTGCACTCAGGGGTTACCCCTGGCAGTGCTCAGGGGACCAGATGAGATGCTGGGAATCGAACCTGGGTCGGCTGCGTGCAAGGCAAAAGCCCTACCCGCTGTGCTATCTCTCCAGCCCCCTTATGATTATTTTTGCCAAAAGCAGCACTCTCGGTAATGGGTGAGGTCTTGGGGTGATGTATGCAGGAAACCACTGCTAGCAATATTGTAAATCACAGTACTTCGATTCATTAAAATCTCTCTCGCCTTGCTGATGCCTCCTTGGGATCTCAAAGACAGACATTCAAAACACACCTCAGCTGGAGCCAGAGCACAGTAGAGAGGGAGCTCACCTGGGACACGGCTGGTTTGATCCCCAGCACCACACAGGGTGCCCCCGAATCCCAGCAGGAGAAAGCCCTGAGCACCACTGGGCATGGCCCCCAAACAAGCTAGCGAACAAAGTATCTCCCTGGCAAGGCGTTCCCTCTTCCCTTTGTGCAATTTTACGAAAATAAAAGTAGCAAAAAAAGACCCCATTCCTGCTTCATTGGCATCCCCAAGGGCAGGACCTCGCCCTGGCCCCACCCCCAGGAATTCCAGCATCAGTGCTTTCTTCCCACCTCGGCTGCGGCCAGGAAGTTCAGGTTTGAGCCGGTCGCGGTCTCTAAGGCGGCAGGGGTCTCCTGAAACCCACCGGGCTGCCCCTTAGGGAAGAACCGATTTGCTTAGCAAGCTGCTTCTGAGATCTCAGGTAACTCTGGCGTTTCATTTCATACTCCCTCTCAATTCTGAGGCCTGAAAGAGACAACATGAACGGCAAGGCGTCATTTAATTCGAATCGGCTACTCACCAAACAAATCCACATGCTTGGCTCCTCAGCAAGAAGGCAGAGCCAGTGAAAAAGGAGAGGAGTTGAGGGAACACCTTGAAACAATTCTCGGACAGCAAGAAAAGCGAGGCACACATTTTTGCATTTCTATAGAACTTCTTTTAAAAAAAATACAGAAATGTGGGTTGTTTATTTTTTTATTTATTTATTTTTTGCTTTTTGGGTCACACCTGGTGATGCACAGGGGTTCCTCCTGGCTCTGCACTCAGGAATTACCCCTGGCGGTGCTCAGGGGACCATATGGAATGCTGGGAATCGAACTTGGGTCGGCCGCATGCAAGGCAAATGCCCTACCCACTGTGCTATCGCTCCAGCCCCTCTATAGAACTTCTATAGAATTTACTTATACTCTTATTTATTTATTTATTTCCTTTGGGGGGGGGGTTCCCACCCAGCAATGCTCAGGGGTTACTCCTGCCTCTGCACTCAGGAAGTGAATTACTCCTGACAGTGAGCAAGGGATCCTATGGGATGCCAGGGATTGAACCCAGGTCGGCCACGTGCAAGGCAAACGCCCTCCCTGCTGTGCTATCACTCCAGCCCCAAAACTTATACTTTTATATAGAACTTCTTAGGGAACTTACATTCTGCAGAGGGGAGCTGGCTGGTCTTTGTGGTCCCGTGTTTCCTGAGGTGTACATAATTTCTAAATGAAAGCTCTTCCAAGAAAGGCATTCGTATGTGTCCTATGTTCTTGTACCAGAGTTTTGTAAGCAGTGCGAGACTCCACGGGTCCTGTCTGGGACAGAAATTCATTCATTTATTCAAGAAATATTTACCAAGCCTCCAGTCTGGGATACACATGAGACAGCCTATGAATTCTGTTTCATTCTCCACTAGGCATTTTCATTTCCGGGGAGCCTTTGAGGTTTTCCAGAATTGCAACTCTAGTCAAGAGAATGTCTAGTCTGTCTGTATGAAGGGCTGAAGAGAGACGCAGGAAGATTACCGTATGAAGGATAAAAGTCGGCCTTTAGTGGAAAATTTGCACAATATGCACAAATGTTGATTTATTCTGATGCACACCTTAAAACTTACCTAATGGTAAAGTGCAATTTTACCTCAATAAAAATGGTTTTTTTCCAGAATTACCCTAACTGCTGACTGCTCCCTTGGCAACAAACCAGTCTGTCCACATCTTTTAAGAGAATGAACTAGTTAAGAAGTGTAAGTTCCAAGTTGTACCACTGATCAAAAGTTTGGTCATACTAGGGAAAGGAAAATGACAAATTGGCCAGGGGCTTGGCATATATAAAGGCTCTCAGGGGGTGACAAGATTTCAATCCCGAGGACCATGTAGGTAGATGGAAGAGCCTACACTTACTCCAGGCATAGTAATTATTTAGAAGCATCAGCGTTTGCATTTTAAAAATAGAAAAGGGAAAAAAGTGGAAAAGGCATCTGAACCATCAATTTACCAGTGACTCTCACGAACAATCTCCAACTTCAGTTTTCTCATTTGAAAGTGTTATTTTAGGGGCTGGAGAGACAGCACAGCGGGTGAGGCGTTTGCCTTGCATGCGGCCGACCCAGGTTCGATTCCCAGCATCCCATATGGTCCCCTGAGCACCGCCAGGGGTAACTCCTAAGTGCAGAGCCAGGAGTAACCCCTGTGAAATGCCGGGTGTGACCCAAAAAGAAAAAAAAAAGTGTTATTTTGAAGTGAAGCGTTGACAGGTAAGTTGCAAGGCTTATAAAACTCCCTTTCTTTGGTTGGGGCTGGTGGGAAGACACCCCAGGGGGTTATTCCTGGCTCTGTGCTCAGGAGCTGGGGGACAAACTCTGGGATTAAAATGGGTGGGCCCCTTTGATAAGGTTCAAAGTAGGAGGCAACCAATCTTAAAGGGAAATATCTATATCTATCTATCTATATATATATATTTACAGACATATATTTATTTATTTTTTTTTTTTTTTGCTTTTTGGGTCACACCCGGCAATGCACAACGATTACTCCTGGTTCATGCACTCAGGAATTACCCCTGGCGGTGCTCAGGGGACCATATGGGATGCTGGGAATTGAACCTGGGTCAGTCGCGTGCAAGGCAAACGCCCTACCCAGTGTGCTATTGCTCCAGCCCCAGACTTATATATTTAAAGCACACAAGACTCAACCTTTAACAACGTGTTAGTATCTCTTATAGAAGGGCTGAGTGGCCCCTGAGAGAAATACAGCAATCTCCACACTCTTTCCTCTAAGGATACTGTTTTGTAGCATTTTCAGTGTTTTCTCTTTTTTTTTTTCATAACAAACAATACAAAATATATTATTTCAGTTCTGCTTTGGGGCAGGAATTTCGGTTTGGGTAGGTGTAGTGTTGGTGGGATTGGTGTTTGAGTATCAAATGTAATGAAATATTGTGAACTACTTTATAAAATCTTAAAAATGTTTAAAAAGTCACGGGTGGGCCCCAGGCGAGCAAGGACTTGCTGTCAGGCAAGTGCAGCCTCCAGAGCCCTAAACTCCCTTTCCTAAAATAAAGAATCTGCCCGACTTAGATTCGTGGGAAGTTCAGGGTGTCCAGGACTTGTAAGCCCAGCCATGGGGGGTCACTCACACTTTAAAACAGTCGCTGCGTAGGACGGATTTGACCGTGTTTTTCCGGAGCAAGCTGTAGGCCATGGTGAGCTGTCAGGGGTCTCTGCGGGATGCGTGGTCTGGTGCCTGCAGGGGGGCACAGCAGACAGGCCCCTGTCCACCAGCGCTCAGGCGCATTGCAGACGCTGAGACTGGTCCAGCCCCAGGCAGGGGGGACTGAGCACACCTCCTGCCGCTGGGGCTTCCCTCCTGCAGGGCAGGGTCAGGGGACCGGCCACTGTCCCCCGCGGGCCTAGCTGCAGCACTGCAGGCCCCGAAGACCCCCGCAGTCGCGCCCACACGCGGGTTTCCCCAGATCCCAAAGTTTGGCCAAGGGCGGGGCTGGACCTCACGGTGCCACGGGCCCAGGGGCCCATCCCTGCACCCCTATATGTCCTCCTGGCGCCCCGTACCGGCTGCTCCCTGCACCCCAAGGCCCCCCATGACACCACTACTGGCCACTCCCTGCACCCCAAGGCCCCCCATGACACCCCTACTGGCCACTCCCTGCACCCCAAGGCCCCCCATGACATCCCTACTGGCCACTCCCTGCACCCCAAGGCCCCCCATGACACCCCTACTGGCCACTCCCTGCACCCCAAGGCCTCCTCAGCGTCCCCTACCGACCACCGTGACGGCAGCCCAGGCCAGGTCCGGGCCAGGCCACGAGGGGCACACAGTCTCCCCCCCCCCACCTCCTCCAACCACCCACCCCGCCAGCACCCACAAAGGCCTTTGTGGCCTGGCGGGGCGGGGCGGGTGAGGACTGGGCTGCTCGGGTCCCTGCCGAGGCCGGCCAGGGTGGGGGATCCCGGGGATATGACCTCTTCATGCCCGGTATGGGCCGTGGCGATAGCCTGGTATTAAAAAGGGTTTGGGGGGTCAGGGAGGGGCAGGGTGGGGTCTCAGAAGCTCATCCTCCAGTGCTCACTCAAGCCTTCGACTGACTCCAACCCAGCTGAGGTCTTCAGGGAAACTTCGTGGGAAGCCTTGCACACAAACCAGCAAACGCCTAATATAAGCTTCAACCCTGTAAGGAGACAGCAACATCACGTGGTCAAACATTTAACGGTGAGAGAAAATGGTTAAATCGGTTAGGTTGATGGTTTTGTTTTTTTATTTTGATTTTTGAGCCACACCCAACTGTGTGCAGGGGTTTCTGCCTGGCTCTGCACTCAGTGCTCACTCCTGGTGGGGCTTAGGGGTCTGTGTGCCACGGATAGAACCCGGCCGGCCACCTGCAGACCACGTGCCTTAACCACAGTCCCAATCGCCTGATTTCAGTCATTCAGTAACATGCTCACGGGGCCTCTGCTTCTGCTCAATCTCCTTCAGGACTGGTTAGGTTGTATGATTAGTATTCACTTGATCACTTACTTGACTTCCCGTTAGTCGTCGATTTGCTCGAGCGGGCGCCAGTGACGTCTCCATTGGTCCCTGTCACGTGCTAGTGTAGCCCCATGGCATCTGTTCACTCCGGGATCATGAAGGGCCTCAAACCGATCGTTCATGATCTTGACAAAGAAGTCTGACCATCTGGAAGGTGGGCGGCCACGCGGTCTCTTGACATCCCGTGGAATCCAATCAGTAACAGCTCTAGTCCAACGGTCGTCTTTAAATCTCATTACGTGACCAGCCCATCTGATTTTTGACACCTTGGCAAATGAGACAGCGTCCCTGATCCTTGATCGTCGACGGATGTCAGAACTCCGGATTCTTTCTCTCATTTGAGTGAAACATGATATTCCAAGCATAGCTCTTTCTATTCTTCTTTGGGAGACCCGAATGGCGTTCTCATCTTGTTTGCGTAGGGCCCAGGTCTCTGAGGCATATGTTAATGCAGGAAGAACAGTGGAATCAAAGAGATGTGCCCGGAGCCGGAGGTTCTTCGTCCTCTTAGCTATTTCTTCGACGTTCTTGAAGGCGTTCCAAGCCGCTCTCTTCCTCCTGCGCAGCTCGGGTGCCAGGTCATTTGTCATGTTGACCTCTCGACCTAGGTACACATAGCTGTTGCATTCGGAGATGGTCGTTCCCTTGAGAGCGAATGGGGCGTCAGGAACAAGGCTGTTTCTCATAAACATTGTCTTCGTAAGATAAGTATTACGCATATTTATAACACTAAACCCTACACAAGGTGGAAGGATATACAATCAAGGCATCCCTTTACCTCCTGTTTGACTGCTATTTTCTTTAGAAATCAAATTCTTTGTAAATATCTTCTCTCCTCTCTCTTCTATCTCCCTCTCTCTCCCTCTCCCTCCCTCTTTCCCTCCCTCCCTCTCTCCTCTCTTCCTATTCTCTCTCTCTCTCTCCCCCTCCCTCCCTCCCCACCCCCCCCCCCCATGCTGGTGCACACCCTTCCTCCCGTCCCTTCCTCTCTATGAACTCCCTCCAGTTTTTGTCTTTCGGTTTTGGTTTTGGTTCCGTTTGGGCCCACCCCGGCTTCCTCTGGGCTCTGCACTCACGGATCCCTCGAGGAGGGGCTCTGGGACCTCAAGGCAAACTCCTCACCCCTGTCCTGTCTCTCTGCCCTCCTCACCTATTTTTTTTTCCCCCTACAAATATCTAAGAGTTCTCTAAACCTGCTAGAGAAACTTGAGGACTTTCATTTCCGTTGGCAAAGGGCGTTGCTGCCACCTAGTGTTTAAACTGCAAAGGAGGCAGGAGGGGTCAAGATCCAGACCCCTGGGCCTGAGCTGGCCGCACCTGAGGGTACTCAGGTCCACCCCCACGTGTCCCCTCCACTCAGGAGCCCCAGTGTCCCCCCAAAATGCTCCCTGCACTGTCACACCCCGGGCTGCTTCCCGTCACTGCCTCGCTTAATAATCACGGCGGTGGCTTCTCTTTTTTCCGTTATAATTTTAGAGGTATAGTGGTAGCACAGCGGTAGGGCATTTGCCTTGCGCGCAGCCATCCCAGCTGAGCCGGGTTCGATTCTTCCGCCCCTCTCGGAGAGCCTGGCAAGCTACTGAGAGGATCTCGCCCGCGCGGCAAAGCCTGGCAAGCTCCCCGTGATGTATTCGATATGCCAAACACAGTAACAACAAAGTCTCCAATGGACACATTACTGGGCCTGCTCGAGCAAATCGGTGAACAACGGGAGGACAGTGCTACAGTGCTATGACCATATCAGTAGATGCAGAGAAAGCATTTGACAAGATCCAGCCCCTAGTTTATGGTGAAAACTCTCACCGAAATGGGTATTGAAGGGACTTCTCTCAATACAGTCAAAGCCATCTGCAAGCCGATGGCAAGCATTATCCTCAATGGAGATATTAGGACATTTAAGACTGAGCCTCTAACAAAAAAGAAAAGTACCTGCCACAGAGGCAGGTGGTGGTGAGTTGGGGGGGAGGGGACAGAAATTGGGGACATTAGTGGTGGGAAATGCACACTGGTGGAGGGACAGGTGTTGGAACGTTGTGTGACTAAAGCTTGATCATGAACAATCTTATATCTGTGAATCTCACTGAGATCCAATTAAAAAAATCATAATAATAAATAAAATAACGGTATTAGAAACAGTTAATACCAAGGAGCGACAGCAACAACATAAAAAGACTGAATCTCCACAAACACAACTTTGTGACTCTTCATAATTCCTCTCGAGACTGCCACCCGGGAAACCGCCCCCAGTCGTGTTTGGACATACCTGTGTTGGGGACAGCTATATCAACGGCACTATGCCTGTTCTTGCCTGATTAACTCTGTGGTTGTAGTCAACCCACATTTGACATCTCTCTCTCTCTCTCTCTCTCTCTCCCTCTCTTTCCTTCTCTCTCTCTCTTTCCTTCTCTCTCTCTCTCTCTCTTTCTCTCTCCCTCTCTTTCCTTCTCTCTCTCTCTCTCTCTCTTTCTCTCTCCCTCTCTTTCCTTCTCTCTCTCTCTCTCTCTCTCTCTCTCTCTCTCTCTCTCTCTCCCATTACCTATTTTTAGTTGAAATCTTTATGAGAACTATAGTTCCTACCATTTTCTCTGCTCTGTCCCCACTCTTCCTTCCAAGCTGGCTGTCTTCTGGCAGGTGTGAGACTCTGCAGGTGGGTCTCACATCCGGCTACTCTGTCTTCACACGTGAGTTCGGACCATTCACGTGGGGGGTGACGGCTGATACATAGGGCTCGCTTGATGCCGTTGTAGCTTTTGTTTTCTGGTTGTTTATATTACATTGATTTCTGTTCTCCCTTTTGTGTTTGTCTTTTCTGCAGATGGTCAACCCTGATGTTTCTCTCTACGACTTCATTGTTTTCCTCCGTAGATCTCTGCTCCAGATTTCGGCTTTATGTCTACCATGGAAATTGCATCGCACTTTCCATACTCGAGTCTTTTCTCCTCCTGGTGTCTGTTCCATTTGGTATCTGTTGCCATTTGACCACATAGGTTCTGCCCTTTTCTTCTTCCTCTTTATCTTTTTGTCCTTATCTCCCACCACTGTTGTTTCATTTCTGTTAACACGTTCCTGTTGATCCCCTTGATCTTTTGCTTTTATTCTCTGGTTTTTGGTTTTTTGGTTTTTTGGGTTTTTTTTTTTTTACATATAAGAATTCCTTCCAACATTTTCTGCAGACTATGTGGTGGGTAAAATATTTTGATGGGCATAGTATTGTTGGCTGGAAGTCTGCCATTTTGTAGACTTGTGATTCCATTCTTGTCTGTACTGTCGGGTTTCCACTGAAAAGTCTGATGAAAATCTGACGTAGGTAGGGCAAGATGTTGTCAATATTTTTGTAACTGCCTCTTTCAAATAGTCTCCTGTTGTTTCATTATGAGTGCATAGACAAATATGCACATACAGGTGATTGATCTAATGTTTTAACATATTGTTTTATTCCTTGCCACCCAATACAGAAATCATAAGTGCCGTTTCCATTTTCTTGTGCCTATTTCCAATAGTTCTGCAGTAATGATGCCAAATCTAAATTAACGATAAACCAATATGACTGGAAAACTCAGACCACCAAGGGCTGAAATCCCCGAGTCTCAGCATATGGGTTGCCTCTCTGAGCCTGCTCAGGGCCTCCCTTCTCTAACTCCCCCTTCTCTCCCCTT